CTGTTGACTCCTGTGAACAGTACAAAACATTACTAATAGTACCTTCATTGTCTTGTGTGTTAGTTTTGAGCTGCTTTTTAAGAATGGAAATAATTTTCTATATTAAAAAAAAAAAAATCTTTGTTCTTTCTGCCTCACCCTGCATCTATGTCCTCCTTTTGATCCAAAAAGTGTTTGACTCACCCTTTTGTTTTGCTATATTATTTATCTGGATCAGGAAATTATCTTCAAAGTCACTTACTATAATTAATACTGATTTTTTTTTTTTTAAAGAGGAAAACTATTAGAAAAGAATATGTGAAGTCTTAGAAGGAACCCCTGTTTTCCTTTTCGTTGTTAATTACCTTCCTTTCTCTTTTGATTTCCAGTCAAATGTATCAGTTGATAATGAATCCTTAGCACAAACCTGAGTAGGAATCTTGTATTATTGAAACATATTTTTAGCTCAGCATGCTCTTAGTTTTTAAAAATTATATGTTTAATATTGTATTTTATCAAAAGAATCTTTGAATTCAAGTTATCCATTAATCAGAATGGAAATTAAACCACTCAGTGCATAGGATAACAAGTAGTAGACAGAAGGAAATAATGTATATCAGTAACATTGTTTATATATGTAGCCCATGTACATATGTAATTTACCTAGCAAGAGTAGTAAAATCTTAACATTCTTGCCTAATTGGGTCTATTTAGTGTCTATTTACATCAGTGTCTGTTAGGTTGTGCGGGCTTTTAGAAGATGTTGTCATGGCCATTTGAGTTTCCTAAATTCTTGTAGCATGCTGTAGTGTTGCCTCTTTCATGAGCTAATGAAGTAACTTCATTCTCATCACCATAAGTTATGTATATGTAAACTGGATCAAATCCACAATTAGCTGTGAGAAAAATAGAGAAGACTTGTCAGGAGACAATGCTCTGTAGATTAGCTGAGACATTCACATAGTACTTGCAAGACCTGTAGGAGCACTGTGGGTTTCTGATGCAGAAGTTGAAGACCACTTTGGGATACTGTAGGATCTCAATAGCAGATGTCTGTGAGTAAGAGACTTGAGTCATCAGTCAGGAAAACCTCTGTGGCTTGGTTATGCTGAGGGTAGAGGGAGCTGATTGCAGGCTAGTCATGAAGAAGCATCTCTGTCACTTCATGGGTTAGAGTTGTAGATGACTGGAGAAGGTTGGAGGTAACAACACTATGCCTTAGTCATGATGGAGTACAAAGGGCTTCGTTGTGTGGAGCTGAGTGTAGCTTTCCAGAGAAGTGGAAGTTGGCTGAAGTAGAGTTTAAGGGCTTCATGATGCCAAGGTTCAGGCTCCTCCCTGCTGTTGGTCATGCAAAGTGTACAGAGGGCTGCTATGCAATAGTGGGATGTGCCCTCACCATAGGACATGATCCAGCTCAGTAAAACTCTTTACTTCCTTCAGCAGAACTGACCTGCTTGGGTCAGTCATGGAAGATGATTGGCTCACCATTCCTCAAACATCATGTGTGGATCGGAGCCAGTACACATTAGAGTCTGACTGGCTGCAATTACATGACTATATTGAGCTGCTTTCTTCCCCAATCACTGCCACTGTGCTTCTAAGGAGAGGAGACTGGGGAGCAAGAACAGACCTGTTGATACTGATCTAGCCCTGCATCCCGTTAGTAACTCAGCCGATTTCACTTGAATGGGATCCATGGAATACAGTACAGTAAATGCATGGGTTTACCTTTTGGCTTTCACAGCCGTGTTTGCTTAATGCAGCCTTCTATTTATTATTCTTTCATTTCAAAATACTCTTTTTTTTTTCTTTTTTAAAAATTAATTAAGGGTAAAATCTTTTATCCATATTAAAGCACTGAAAAGGAGTACTGCCATCTTAGTACTTCATTGTGCAAACGTGTAGAAGAGCGTAAGGTGAGCAGAAGCAAGAAGCAATCAGCAAACAGGGCAGGGTTACAGGTGAACGTGAACCTGCTTTCATAAAAGAGCCATTATGTGTCTGCCAGAGCACCTCTGCTGCCTCATAGATGCGAGGCTAAGAAAGGCCTTACAATTAAAGTGTCAGTTGTGGAATGAGGATCAAATTTAAATCCAAAGTGCTTGAGACACTCCTGAACATATTAGGGAAGTTGTATGACTAAAGCTTGAAACTGTGTTGCTCAGTACAAAGGTCTAAGCGTTGAAGTTTATGATCCTCCCTATACTTCACTTACGGTTGGGCTCTCTACTATGTTCGGTGGAAAAATATGCACGGAGTTAAATTGAAAGGGCAGAAAGGACAATTGGGGATTTTCTGGACCAATGTGTTTGTATTAATCATGACATTTTAAACAGTAGTTTCTTCATATGACTCTACATATCTGGTTAAGCTAGAGTATAGCTAGAAAACCTAAACCTAAACATTCTTGACTTAAAGGCTTGGTGACAGTCCAGTGGGCTTCATGTTATTTTATGTAAATTATGCCAGTGATTGGTTATTCCCCATTTCAAAAATAATTTGCAAGGTATTTCTTCTAAATTCATTGAGCTTCATTTTCTATCTAGTTGCTATTTTCTTATCTTTGCTAAATGTAACAAACATATAAAAAATCTGTCCTCCACATACATTTACAGATTATGCTGAAGTAATTTTGCATCTTTTTATAGAACTGATTGTTTCCAAAGTGTCTCAGTGTAAAGTTGTTTTTTCTAATCAGCAGTTCATCCTTATGGCTTTTTTTGTCAGCTTTTCAGATTATCAGTGTCCTTTTTAAAGCACAAACTTAATTGAATACAATACTGAGTAAGGTTCTCACTAAGGTTTTTTACAGGATAGTAGTATCCCACTCTTCACATTTGATACTCTTCATGTCCCCAAAATATATTTTTACTTTTAAATATTGTTCTTTTAACTCTTTTCAGTTGGTCTTTCTCTATGAACCTAATCAATGCTTTGCCTGTCCTGTAAATAATAACCTACATTCTTGATTTCAGTGGTACTTTACATTTCATTATATGAAATGAGTTTGAGGTCCTACATAATTTCATTCTAAGTGCCCTTGTTACTGCTTGGTATTTAGCTCCAGATCAGTGTCAAGGAAGTACATTGCTTTTTCAGACTCAAAATTTTGCAACCATTTAATGAGGCAAAATGTACTCCAACTCTGTACGCTGCTGCATTTTTGGTCCTGCATTAACAGATAAAAGATTGACAGATTTCATTGTTAATATGAAGAACCGAATGCGTTTTAAATCCGTATCTGCATTTTGTAGCTATGCTGGTGGCTGAAGATTTAGATCAGACTTTGTTATGTAAGATGGGAACTCGGCAGGAAGCCACCTAATTCAGCCCAAGTTTCTTTGATGTTTACCTCCGCTAATAAAAAATTAGGAGCCTGGCCAAGGTTACATGGCTGTTGAGAGATCCCGGTTTGAAACATTCAGAGCTTTGCAGTTTGAAAGTAGCTGAAAGTGAAACCTCTGAGAACTAAGGAAGATGTGGCCTGGGGGACAAACACCAAAAGGCAGCGGTTGCAGAAGGCGATAACTCTTTGACTGATCCCCATGCTGGTGGTTGTCTGAGAAAAATAAGACTTAACCCAAAGTGTAAAGCAAAGCTGAATTTTAGGCAGGATAATGTTTGCATGTGCCTTTTGTTGTTTTATCTCTTAGCCTCTGTGTTTGTTATGTTCCTATGGATAAATAAATAATATTCCGTGTTGAGCAAGCTGTTCGCTGTCACTACCTTTTCACACTGGTCATAACTCCCAGAGGGAAGTCGATGAAGGGGCCATTAACCAGCTGGACCTGCTGAGGACACCTGTAACCTGGTGACCCAGTCAAAGTGTGAGGGTGATTCACTGAATTTCTTCTGAGAGGAGTACTTCTTCCTTGCTTGGAAGGGGTACCCACAGAGAGACTGAGAAACAGGTCAAAGGGTGTGTTTGATCCTCATGTTTGACACAAGAAGTGTGTATTCAGATCAGTATTATCCATGTCATTAATAAGATTAAAATCCATAAAAGTTATTTAGCCATCTATCATTAATTTATAAATTAAAGCGAATGTGTTCCTTTATTATGAAACATAGGTGCATTATATATGGCTTCACGGTCAGCAGGTGTCTGATAATGGGGTGCTGAGATGGATGTACAAAAACTGATTTACAGCATGACAGGAGAACTCAAAAGTCTTTGAGAAATCAAGGGAGAAGTATATTGTATTTTTTTATCTTCTAAAAATTGTAATATTATTATTTATTCTTCGTTTTCAGAATGGAGAAACAGGAAAAGAATCAGAAGAAGATAAAGATGCAAACAAGTCCGAGATCAGTGTAGTCTTTGAAATTGCTTTGAAGCGCAATATACCTGTCAGTTTTGAGGTACGTGCTACGTATTTGTTTGCTAAGAAAGTAATATAAAAAGGTTCCATTAAAACTTAACATGGTTAATAATATTCGCACATTATGAATATGAGATTTAAATTCATGCAAATTGTAAATAAAACAATCAGAGTCTAAGACACTGAGTTGTTAACGATTAAATTAGATGCCTTTTCAGAAGTATTAGAGACTTAATGCTTGGTTGCAAACAAGTGGATGGCAGAAAGACAGTTCAAGTATCTTCTGTATAGTGTTGGGGGAATAGAATCAGTAGCCCCGCTCAATCTGATTTGAAATAATCTTCGAAACAGTCAGCCAAAGACTTTGCTTTAACTGTAGGCATTCATACACCGAAAAAGTTCCCATTGAGATACTTTGCATCTGATGTGCTGTTTTCAGAAAGTCATGAGAATCTTTTTATCGTCTACACTGTTTGACTCCTTATCTATCTCTACTTAAGCCTTCATGTGGGTTTTTTTTTTTTCACATTTCATATGATTATATCTGTCAACCTGCTTCTGACACCTTTGTTTACCTTAAGGAATAAAGAATATTTGGAATAGCTCCAATGCTATCAATGAAGTAACTACAGGAGAATGAGTGATAGTAAAAGGAAAATTTTTCCGATGAGAAAGTTCTAACACAAACTGATTGTAAAAATCTAACGTTGTTGTGATAGGAACCACCAGATTTTACAAGCTGTTTTGTTTGGTTTTTAATGCAGAAAATACTTATGTAAGTGGCTCTCTAAAGTTTTATTTTTCTGCTTTTTGTTTACATTTAAACTGAGTATATGTGAAGGAAGTGGGTAGTGCCATTACTGGTGATGGTTATTTTCTCTAGTGTTTTTCCTTTTGAAGTATAGGCACATATTTGCATGCCAAAAAAGTAAATTATTCTGTGGCATGCCTTTCAGTGTTCTGTATGCAGTTTGCTGACATGTTTGGCTCATATCCATAAATTGGCCAATGTCAAATGAGTTATTTGAACCTTCTTAGAAATCTGAGAAATCTCTCAGAAGGTAGGTAAGAGAGCCAAAGACAAAGAATATTGGTTTTGACTAAGGAATTCCTCAGTATAATGAACGTGTTTGTACTTCATACATATCGTCTATGTACTATGGACTAATTAGAAAGTTAAGAGAATGTAAAATCTCAAGAATAAACTGGGGTGTCTGGAGGTATTGATGTTTCAATTTGCCACTACATGGAAAGAACATAACTCTTAAAAAGGTCAGACATAATGGAAACACATGCCTGTTTCAAAAAGGAAGCTCGTAATTAACGTTTCAGTTTTCACACATCATTTTCTACCTTAAGCATTTAAAAGTGTTTGGAATAGTTCCATACAAATCAATATACTAAAATACAAGGAGATGCATGGTCACAGGTCACAGAATAGCTTGGAGGTTGGAAAGAAAAGAGGGATAGCGTTTTGAATGTTGTTTCAACTTCATTCCTGTGTTTCAGCTTATTTAAGGGAGAGCATTTGGTAAGGGGAGGATGAAGGCAGAGATACTTAGTACAGGAAAAGTCTAATGTGTCACTTGCCAAAAAATGTTAACAACATTGAAAAAAAGACAGTTTCTTGCTTTCCTGACAGGTTTCGTGTTATTTCCTGCCTTTCAATCTAAGTATAAGTGACATTTTAAAATAGAATTTTGATTGAACTTGGTACTGGCTTGTATTTCAATAAAACTGCTAAGCAATTATGGGTAATCCCCAGGATCTGATGTTTCTAATAGGATTTTATTTACAAATGGTTTTGTGTTATTCCAGGCAGGCATCAAAGCTTTCTCTAGCTTTTTTTTGTGTGATAGCTATAAAATGATCTGCCTTGCCTTCATCTGACGAAGCTTTAGCCAATGTTCCAACAGTGCTGTGTTATGCAACGGAGTAATGGTCATAAAGATACGTAAAGTTCTATGTAAACATGTCCTCAGAATTGTGCAAGGAGTGGAAAATACGGAAAGCACGCAGAAGCCGGTGGTTTTCTTCTATCTATCCTGTTTTGTGTAAAATGGCTGGTTCTTATTGCCTAGGAACTTCAGGATGAGTTTTAAGGAATTTCTATCTATTAAATCATTAATTAAAATAAAAGCATTCAATTCTGACAAACAACAAGCTTTACTCCATACTTCTTACTGGTGTGTCCTTAGCTAACCTTTATTCATCAACTTCTAAGTCAAAATGCAACTCCTGTAGGGCATTTGTGGGGCTCTCAATGAACAATTTTTAAGGAGGGATACAAAACTGATTGCTGTAGGAATTGTTAGAATAGCTGTAAAATGGTTGTTTTACCTTTTATCCCCTCCTTGATGGTATGTTAAAATTTTGCTTTTCTTGGTTCTCTTGCAACATACACATTTTTTATTTCCAGCTTGTCAGTAAGGGTTTGGGTGAGCCTAGAAAAGACATAACTGAGGTCAACAACTTCAGATATTAGAACAAGGTGAGATGTTTCAGATTGTAATTTTATTTTCAGGTTTTTTCTTTAGATTGGAGTACTCTTTCTTTAGAATAGCAAACACTATAATATCTTTTTTTCATTCTCAATATCAGGAGTGAGGGGATAGAGTGCCTGAACAGGCAAATTTTCTGCCCCCTCCAACCCCTTCCAGTGTTTTGCTGGGAAAAAGAGTTGCAGTTCCTTGTGTCCTAGTCAGATCACAGTGATGCAGAGATTCTGTATTTTGAACCAGGAACAGACCAAATTGCTGACTGTGGGAGACTGAGCAGCTTCTCAGGAGGAAGTTTTACACCCATCTGGCTCCTGCTCTTCTGAGGATTAAGGTTTTCAGATTAGATGATTGACATACTGAGTAGCTCTCATTTGTATTTGGCATGATGGTCACCCTTCCTCACTCCAGTTTTAATAAAACACCCAGACTTTTTTTTTTTTTTTCAACTGGAAAAATCTGGTATGTCTGCCCGCACAAGCACATGGAAATATATTGGTATTTTCAAACTCCTAAATAATCATGGTTATTATAATTATGATAATAAGTGACATTTTTTTGTTGACCTGTTTTTTGTCTCCTCTATTTTTTTTTTTCCATTTAATCTTGTTATAATCTGTTGAATTTTCTACCTGGAGTCTCATTAATAATTGAAGCAACGTTGCTCTTTCGTTGTAATCATACTGCTGTTTTTCATTTGTCAGCGTGATTCATTAAGTTGAGCCAAATTCACTCTTGATGTAACTTGACCTTAGATGTGTTTTGGCCCCATGTGTTTTCTCTTGCTAGAGTTATTCTTTAAATCAGTGGAACAGAAAAAGAAAAGTATATTGAACTGTCACCCTTAATCAAATTCTCAGCTTTAAATTAGCCATGATTTGGTCCACGGGTCGTATCTTTCAACTGAGGAAATAGTTTAATGTACTAATGCATACAGTGTTCTTGGATAGCAAAGGCTGAATTTCTTTTTAGTGTTTTCCGTCCCTAGGCTTACAGCACAACTGTTTGAAATCATGTGGAGTGAAAGATCTAAAATCTGGGGTTAACCAAAAATGTTGTTAGGTAAATATTTTTTTTGCTAAATTACCAAATTTGGATGTTTAGCTTGATCCGGATCCCATCTGAATCCTATGGGATTCATTCCATTGACAAACACAGACTTTTTTTCATTTGCACACTAACAAAGAAACTGCTTTGAATGTTTTCCAGGCAATTATTTAGCTTGTGTCACATACTTAAAAGTTAAAAAGATGAAAAACACACCAGAATACATTAGTTTTATATGAAGAAATATTTTTTCATGTATATGAAAATATAATCTGGTTTTGCATTAATGTTCTTTTTCATATACATATATATATTTCTGTGCATTTTTATATATATACATGTGAAAACTTATGTAAAACTTATATTTTAGGAACTCTGCAATTACATTTCTTAAGCAAGTTATTTTATCCTTTTTCATCTGGTCAGTATAGATGTTCTTGTATACTTTACTAATACATTATATTGCATGTACGTAGAAACACCTATATAGTGGTATTAGGAAGACCACATAAAGATTAAGGACCTTAACAAGGTTAATTTAGCCATGTTTTACAGCCAACGAGTTGTAATACTTGAATAGCAAGAACAGGGATGGATTAAGATACATCTTTAAAACAGAATGGGATACACTGCAGTATGATAAAGGTGTTCAGCACTGACACGAAGCCCGACTGCACCTGAGAGCGCGAAATCCTGGTACAGGGCTCATCCCGGCTCTGATGCAGGCAGTGCAGCTTCCTGTGGGTCAGTGCCTTGAGAGCACCACAGCCTTCTCATGCGGTGAAGAGCTAGTGGGCAACTTTGAAGTGAGATGATCTTGAAAACGCATCTGAAATCATTATCTGGAATCTTAAGTGTGGGAACACTTCTGCACTACAACAGAAAAAGTCGCGTGCTGGCACAGATGTCGTCTTATCCTGGGAAAATGCGGACAAAGTTGTCTGTTAATTTTCATTTTGTGTCTTTTTATTGATATATGCTGTGATAATTATATTTGCTGGGTGAAGTTGCCACAAAAGAGAGCTTAAAAAAGAAATACAAGCCTAAGGAGACCTCATTACAGTGTAACAGCAAAACTAAATAATGCAAGGGACATGACCTTGATAAAAAGAACTTTAATACAAAACATGTTGTAATAATATTAAGGTTGAAGGTTTCAGCCCATTAAAAATATAATTATTACACCAAGAAGGCTCTAGCACCTTTGCCTCAGTTCCCTTGCACTCAGGCATTACAATTCTTCAACAAATGGTTTGATGTAATTGCACCTACAGAAAAAAATATGTATTTGTATTGATTTTGAAGATAATTCAAAGCGGTGCCTGTCAGATGCTCTAATGTCTCCTTATACACATTGCAAGTAACAAAGATTAAATTAGGTAGCTGCTTCCGCCCATCAAACAAAATAACCGAACCTTTTCCCAAATGAGGTCTTTAATTCCTCATGGATATTATCCAGACCAGTATATGGTGCATACATGAAGAGATGACTGTCTTAGCACTTACAGTGCTGCGATTTGTTGGTGAATGCATCCCAGCAGTATAGCCTCCTAAAAGGAGATGTGTGTGTGTGTAAAAATGAAGATCGAAAACGAGCTAAAGGAAGGTACATTGCTCAGAACTTCATTTTTCCCCATATTATTGTAACTTTTAATAGTGGAGAAGTACTTCAAATGAGTTTTCTCATTGTCCTCCTGAATATGTTTGGAAGTGAATGAATAAGTGAAACTTTTCAGAACTGATTGGCTTTTGTGTGAGTTATGGTGGCTCTTTTGTTAATTCCTTTCTGTACTGTTGGGAGGGACAGCTGAGAGTCGTGGATGTGAGACTGTGGCAGCCTTTCAAATATATGGGGTATCACTCTGAGTTGTGTACTCTGGCAAGGTAAGAGTTCAGAGCAGGCGTGCTGCCTGCAGCGAGGACAGTGTAAAAATACAGACCTTTCAGACTGAAGTTCGAGATCATAAAAAAAAAAAAATTAAGAATGAGCAGAAGCGATGCCATACAAACATAGCTTTGAATATGCTGTATAGAGAGAAATAGCAAAAATCTGATGGATCTTCATAAATTTCTTTAGTACGTGAAGCACCTCGCAAGGAAAAAAACAGCAGCCTTGGTTTAAATATGCATTATTGTTGTGTATTGTTATTGTTGTATAAATCGTTTTGAAAATCTTGGTCTGCTGTATTTTCTGTGAAACACTGAATATGATGGTTAGATCAGCCTTAATTTTCTATCCTCAAACTTGATACTGTCATTACTACTTGTTCAGATTTTATGAAAACCCATCTAAGTGCCTTCAATTAGCAGGGAAACTACATTAGTAGTGAGGACACTGCAGAAATACAAACAGTAAGTTATATTCTTACAGGGTGACTTGATTCGATGTCATTTTTGTTTAAAAGGTGATTAAAGAAAGTGGACCTCCTCACATGAAGAGCTTTGTTACACGAGTTACAGTAGGAGAATTCACTGCAGAAGGAGAAGGCAACAGTAAGAAACTCTCAAAGAAACGTGCTGCAATGGCTGTCCTACAAGAACTTAGGAAACTTCCTCCTCTTCCTGTGATTGAAAAGCCAAAACTTTACTTTAAAAAACGTCCAAAAACAATATTGAAGGTATGTGTCTGCCTTTGTCAGAATGGAGCATGTTTGCTCAGAAGGTAGCAGTTAGCCACGTTTTCAAAGTAAAGGCTCATTTGTCATTTTCTGTTGATATTATTACTTGTTTGCCCATGCTAATATGCCTGTACTTTTATAAATTCTGAGAATGCTGTGAGAGTTCCAAATATAATGGCTTGTAAGGTGCTTGGCTTAAAAACTGAGCTTGCATCAGTGAAATCTGCAGGGGTTTGTTCAAGTCTAGTGGAGGATTAAACCCTCGAGCAGCTCTGTATAGCTGTGGGATTTTTTAGCATCATCTCCTTTGGGAGGTTCCACTGGAATACATGGTGATTCTCTCCCTGGTCTTTCCCTTCTCCCCAGTTTGAGGAGGGAGAGGGAAGGGAAACCTTATCACTCCCTACAACTACCTGAAATGAAGTTGTAGTGAGGTCGGTGTTGGTCTCTTTTCCCAAGTAGCAAGTGATAGGATGAGAGGAAATGGCCTCAAGTTGTGCCATGGGAAGTTTAGATTGGATTTTAGGAAAAATTTCTTCACTGAAAGTGGCGTCAAGCATTGGACCAGGCTGCTTAGGGAAGTGGTTGAGTCACCATCCCTGGAAGTATTTAAAAGATGTGTAGATGTGATGCTTAGGGACATGGTTTAGTGATGGACTTGGCAGTGTTACGCTAATGGTTTGACTCTATGATCTTAAGGATGTTTTCCAACCCAAATGATTCTGTGCAATAGTATATATATGGGGAAAAGGTGCGCAGTCCAGCTTCCTCCCTTCATGGAGCTGGATTTGTGGGTTCGACTTCAATTTGTTTTGATTGTTGAAATATTTTAAAGAAGTCCAAGAGTTTGTTCGCATCTCAGCCTAGTATGTCACTTGTCAAAACCATCTAAAATAAGCAAATACTTTGGAGAGTGCAAAGCTGAGGTTGGAACATGTGCAAAGGACTGACTTCATCATCTTCCTCTTTTCATTTGCCTTCAAAACAGAATGAGTGATTTTTTTTAAAAAAAAATAGGTTATTAATTAGATACCTGGCTCCTACTGAAATTCTGGAGATCTAGTTCTCAAAAACTTTAGGAAAAAATAAGCATAAGAATTATTTAATGCAAAAACATCGACACTAATGCAGCTTTAAAACAGCAAGATCTGAAAAGACTATAGGCTCTAGCAGTCTTGTTTTGCAAAGTTTTTCTCAAGAAAGATGCTAGATGTATAATAGGCCCATGGCAGGGGGGTTGAAACTAGATGATCTTTGAGGTCCCTTCCAACCCTAACCGTTCTATGATTCTATGATAATAGTATAAAAATCTCATATTGTCATATACTGTTTACCATACAATCTCAAAGTGAATTATCTAAAGTTGGCCATGTTAGAAAGAGACATTAATAGTCAAAATAACGTGGCTATGTAGAAGTTTTTTATTTTTTGAATATCCAAACTTCTGAAATGCTTTCAGTGTGCCCATTTCTTTTAACTTAACCTGCATGTGTTTTGAGCATCAAAAAAGTGGCAACAATAACTTATTTTTATTTGCGTGTGTATTTTTGAGGTTATATGTTATGGCTTGCACTTTATTTAGCTTGCTCTGCATTTTGTCTCTGCCTGGCTCCTTGCCCACACAGCTGCCCTTGTACATGACATTGCCTTAATTCGTTCACCTACATCATCTCTAACAACTTCAGCAGTTACACTATGTAGGATTTGCTGCACTGCTTTCTTAATATAATATCCCTCTCTGGTCTTTGCCTTCAGTTGCTGATCATCTCTTTAGGTTCTTGACCACTTGTTTGTTCTTACTTGAGAAGCTCAAACACACACACTTGCTGATCTTCTGTTACCCTGCAAATGGCTTCATGAAAAGAAAAATCTCAGTAACAAAGTCAATTCTACATTAAAATGCCATTTACATTTGCAAGTTCGTTCTTTGTATTATAGTCTGTAAATCAGTTAAATATGATTTCAGATAAATATTTTTGGGTCTTAATTTCTTCTCCTTAAGATCTACAAACAAATATTTTCATAGCTATTTTCTTTAAGAGAGCATTTGCCATGTGAGTAATAACATATTAAAATCATTTCATAACTAGATAATTTGTAAAGATTGTCATTTTTCACCCGTATAATGTTGGAGAGACCAGTCTCTCAGTCCATTCGTTTTCTGCCCATCAGATCAATTCCCCCACCATACATTTTGACATGTTACTGTGAAGATTATTGTCTGTTAAGCATTTGAAATACTTTGTGAGTGGCTCACAATATGCAACATTTCTAGCTGTTGGAGATATTCCTCTCTGTCTTTTCTAGCTTCACTACATAAAAGTATTTTGAGGGTGAACTCCTACAAACAGAGTAAACCTTCTACATCTTTAGTTGCATTGTAGGATGGAAGCAGGAGTACTGAGAAGGAAGGCAGGAAGGCTGAGAGAGGCATCTTCCTTGTTATATGGCAAATCTTTTTTGTCCCTTTTTAAGTCCTACCTCGTCTTAGTGTACTGCATGTTCCAGCACTGTAGCAACCTGTTTTAAGGGGTTAGGGGGAAGGGTCATAGAAATAGGGCAACGAGATATAATTGATGGATGAATCTGCTAATTTTCATCCATCCTCGTAGGACCTCCATAGATAGATGAGGGTATCAGTACCTTACAGATGCTAGGTATGCACACTACCTGCAACAGTGGCAGACAATAGGTGCATATTTTCTGCCACAGTTTTGAGCGTTAGGATTCTTATCTTCCGTCGTATCATCGGAAGATGGGAAGAAATTTACTTTTTATTCTCTCAAAGGGAGTATTAAAGAAGAGGTAACCCTAGTAAATGATTTATTGAAGCAGTGTAATAGTTGTATGGATATGTTCTGAAATAATGGTTCTTTCATTTAAACCTGTTTTAGACTGGACCAGAATATGGGCAAGGAATGAATCCCATCAGTCGTCTGGCTCAGATCCAACAGGCCAAAAAAGAGAAGGAGCCAGAGTATGTTCTTCTTTCAGAGAGAGGAATGCCTCGCCGTCGAGAGTTTGTTATGCAGGTATCATGTGCTGTCACGTTGGAGATAATGCCCTTGCTATGTTATGTTCAAACTCAAGCAAAATGGTGGCATAATATGAAGCAGATCCCTCTGTGTTTAGCTCTTTGCTTTACGGTCAGATATACAAGAATTGTATGAAATACAGCATCAGAAAGCCAGTTTGAACTTTCTTCTTTCTCTTGATGAGACAAATGGCAATTAGGTTATGTGCCTTCTAGATGCTTTTTTCATAGTGTTTTTGCATTTTTTAATACTCTTCTTATTTATTGTTTATTCTTATTATCCCTGATGTTACTGTGGGTTTATTTACTTTTACTTGTCTTTTTGAAAAAAAAAAAAAATTTTTTTCTATTGTGGATCAGAGGATTGCAATACAAACAAATATGCGGAAATATGGATATGAATATCTCCATATTACCAAGCATTTTGGTTTAAAAAAAACAGTGTTATAAATGTTGTAAGAACTCCTTTCAGATTTTCAATTTCTTTATGGCTTTCTTCATATCTGAAATACCACAGAAAAAACGCCTTCCATCATGTGTTTTAGCCTGTCCAGTTAAAGGCTCTGGACCTAATACAGAAACAGTAGATCATTAATATATCTTTAATTTTTAAATTATGAACATTCACAAAGATTTGATATAACTATGATATTTTGTTAGATAGCACAACAGCAGGTTAAGAAAGATTAGGAACAGGGAGGAATTCTTTTCTCTTGCGTTTTCACTCAGGGGTAATTTTGTGCTGGAACAATTCAGAACAACATACCTGAACATGTTTTGACTTGTCTACAAAGCACACCAAAATGTCACTTCACATCATAAGCAGAGTTTATGATGTTCCAGCACCTCCTTCTCCAGAAAAATTCTTATGTTTTCACTTAAATCTCTAAGTCCCTCCTTCATATCTCTCAAGATAGGCTAGCAGTCTTCATTTCCTTGGACTTCAGTGGTCTTTCTTGAGGATCTATTATTTTTCTCTCTAAAGCAAAGAAGATTCCTTTTGTTGCAGAATATGATTTATAAGTATAAACTTGGATTTCCAACTTTTTGTGCTACGTGAAAATGTTTGAAAAAGAGTGATCCTATCACAGACCATCCCTTTTCCCTTGCTCAGACCCCTGTGGGAGTGTCCACAGTTAGAGATGGTTGTGTGAGGTGTCAGGAGAGGACTGTGTAATGCAGTCCAGTGTTAGAAAGATAGGCTGAGAAGTTGATTTTCTGTTGGAAGAGTCTCAATAATGGCAAAATCTTTGATTTGAATAAAAAAAAATAAATCTTAAAAGCGATGAATACATAGAAGATTCCCTTGTCTAGGAAGACTTGTGAAAGAGTCAAAGAAATTCCATAGATCAGTTGTTTTATTATGTATGCAAACACTGTAGCCCCATTTTTACCCTTTTGTGATATTTTCACACTAAAATCATGCTGCTGTTTCTCCCACCTTCAGGAGTCTCACTGGATTCATTATGACATGCAAAAAACCTTATCAGAATAAAAAGCCTTTGTATAAACTGCTTAAACAATGTTTTCATTTAATTTAATTGAATGTGGAAGTAAAATATCCAGAGATAATATGTTCATTTTTATCTGTCACACAAAGAGCAAGTTTAGATGTGATGAAATGGATCCAATTACTTGTCCTGACCACTAGATAAACAGAAGAAAACCTCTGATGACATTAGTTGGTGTTCTGTTCCCAAAGTTAATTTCAGAAAGCTCTTTCTCTTTGTAGTCAGACCTTTAATCCTTGATAGAGGTTATAATAATAGCTAAACCAGTTTTACAGGTCTGAGAAATAGCAGCGCATTGATTTATTGTGAGCTGGGTTATAAATTATCATTTTGTCTTGTCCCATTAAAGTCCCTCAATTTTATTGCATATAAACTTGTAGCAGATTGACTGTATTCTAATTGCAGAACTGCATAGAAGATAAGGTTTTTATTTCAAGATTATTAATATTTCTATTTTAGGTAACTGAATATTTTTGTTTAATTATATATGTACTTTGAAGGGACATTCATGATCACTATTTATTTACAATCTCTTCTTTGTATTAGAATTAATAGATATTTGAGTAAAGAAACATGAAAACTTTTAGGAAAATATGTGCATGATAGTTTGAGGAAAGAAAATAATTATTGAATAACATAAATTACTGAATAACATTTATTAAACAATCGTATACCTGTTTTTACAATTTTTTTAAAGCTCCTTCCAGACTGTTTCAGGTTTTTGACCTCTAAGGTTTCTTTTATTCAAATTGCCTCGACTGTTTTATTATTTTTATTTTATTTTCATTTTCGTGCTTTTGAAACCATATACTATTTTCAGAGATAATTTGGCAAATAAAATGGCTTAATGAACAGGGCACAATGTAGGTATGAAAGAGCTATGAATGTTGCAAAAGTGAACAGCAATGTCAGTGCTAATATCACAAACCAGGCACATACAGCTTCTGTAGTTTCAAAATGGTACCAAACCCAAGGAAAAAGTTAGAGCCTCGCTCTTTGTGGATATCCATTGGCTATAATTTGTCTTTATTTTGAGATTTTAACTTCTTGTTTCGTGAAAGGCATCTTGTTTGTCAGAAACCCTTTGTGCGGTACAGACTACAGGTCCACCAAGGAGCTCTCTCTCCAAAGATTATTTTGATAAAAGCTTGTCAGGTGTAAGTGCGGAGAAGAAAGCAGCCCCAGCCCTCGTGTTCCTTGCAGTACGACAAAGTGGGAGGAATGTGAACATGGTTTTCATCTTTCTTTAGAAACCTCTCTTATTTAAAGCTCCAGGTCATTGTTTGTTTCTCCATTGTTCTGGATACTGTCCCAGTGATGCTGGGGAGCTGCTGTAGGCAACGCTCCTGCAAGGAAGAGGAAGTCCAGATCCTGTAGCACTTCCCGTGTTAAGAAAGAGGAGAGAGCAAGGAGGGGGGAGATGTTCAGCGGGGAGAATGGGGTTGGCCCAGAGGCTGGTGGAAGAGAGAGACAACTGTCTTTGCACTGAGGTACAGAAACATGTAGCTCCTGGGTACAAGTTTGGGGACCCTCTGAAGAATCTAAACAAGTTCCTTTGTGTGAAGCAGCATTGTAGTCTCCTTCCGCTCTATTCTTATTTTTCCAAGATTACATCTTCATCAAAAGAGATGAAGGTTGTTGGTACATCAGTAAGATTATTACGTGGTGATATTAAGGAGTCATGCATTTATCCTGATTACGATCAATGTTCTCTTTTTTAAGGTAAAAGTAGGCAATGAGATTACTACTGGAACAGGCCCAAACAAGAAAATAGCTAAAAGAAATGCAGCAGAAGCAATGTTGCTACAGCTGGGTTACAAAGCCTCTACACCTCTTCAAGACCAGCCAGAGAAGGTGAGAACCAATTGTTAATGATGCCCACATTTTCCCCGTGTCTAGATTTCTTAGCTGTATGGGCTAATCAGTTAGTAAGAACAGAAGCAGAAATTTGTGCGCCTCCTGTTTTAGGAGGTTGCTTGTCAGAGATCAGCCTTCATTTAGCTACAGCTTTATAGCTGCAGTTAGTAGCAAGTGCAGCCTCTCCTCCTGTAAGAGTAATTAAGAACAGACATGTAGTTCCAGAGGATAGCGTGTATGCAAAAGTGTACATGTGATGTATGTGCCTATTTCTACTTACAAATCAGGATGAACGTGCCTCTTGCTTGTATTCCATTTTGGGCGTCCATGAGAGGACTGAGAGGAATGATGTTATTAATTTTCATACATGAAGTAGTCATAATAGTCAATGTTTGTCTTCCTGTTGCATATGCACTAAAAGCATTCCAGAAGGATAATGGCCTTTTCAGGTTTGATGACTGAGAAAGAGATTGTGTATCTGGTTTTATATTTTTTGTGGAGAAAGAGTGACATTTTAAATTCATCTGTGTTGCAGGTATGTATTTCCATGTTAGTGATACGTAACTTAGCACTCCTTTCTTGAGATTGTTGAGGGAAGATTTTGTAACCAAAATTGGGTGTTAAAGTTTTATCTTTTATATCCTGAAAAGATGTTTGATAAGATATTTGGCTAAGCCATGGACTCAGAAGAACTTCAGTCTTATGCAGAGTCACTGCATGTATGTATTTTTGTTATGGCTTAAATGTTTGCTGTGGCTGCACCAGCTAGCTCAGGTCAACAGAATGTTCTGCTGGGCTTTTCTGGGGACCATGTGACAAATCTGAATATAATATATGTATCTTCTAAAATACCCTTTATTTTTCTTTTAAAAAATAAATGTATACAGGAAGATACTCTGCTCTGTACACCTAGCCAGGAAAAGATAAATGCCATACTGATGACTTGGCTCCACCTCCTTGTTTCCCTCTCCTTTGAGAGCAGCAGCTCAATGTAAATTATTCACATTCACCTTGACTACGTTCTTCACTGTATATCTTAGTCATATACAAGTACTTGGAGGCTAGATGGTGTTCCTAGTGAGAACATACTGCGCAGTCATAGCCATTTTAAAAAAGCTTTGTGACAGAGTCCAATGATCATTCATTTTCACCAGAATGTTGAGACTTTTCTGCCGTTGAAGATACTTTCTATCAGTTTCAACTTTTTCTTCATTGCTAATTTGGCCAAAGGGCTTTTGGGGGCCGGGGGAGGGAGCAAAACAGAAAAGTCAACTTTTTTTTCTAATAGGAAAACGTAGGTTTTTGTTCTTGGTTTTCAAATTGGCTGAACTATTTTTACTCAGTAATTTTCAGAGATAAAGCTTGAAAAAATTTAGCCCACAGCATAGTTCATTTGGAGAGCTCTACACAATGGAAACTTGTGGTTACATTGCTTCGTTTCCCTACGTTTATTAAACTATTCCTTACAAGTGCATTGTCTCTAAAAAAACAGGTTTAGTTATATACTTGCAGACATAGATATCTTAGAATTGATAGAATAGCATACAATGGCCTAATGTTATTCTGAATACAATAAGAAAACATCATACTGTATCCAAAAAATGTGAACTACTCAAATTTTATGTTGTTGGAGTATTCAAGATCATAGAACAAATTTTTAAAGCTTTGTTGGGATTAAGGACATAAAACATCTAGAACATCTGGCTTTATCTTCCATATATAACAGAGTGAACATATTTGCAGACACACAAGTTAGTTTGAGTAGATGAAAGCATTTTAATTCTCGAACTAAACATCCAAAGAGGGAAAATAGGCCTTAGATATCTACCAATTTGAGCATTGCAAAATTCCTTCCGTATAAATTGCTCAATAAAGATGTACCATTAGAAGATACTTGTTTTCTCTTTGTATCCAAAATGGGGCCCAGTGTAGATTAGCTGACGTATCAGATTGGCATCTAAATGGACAATTTTCACTTGGGTTGTTTTT